CTCTGAGCGTGTGCGTCTCTACTGCTCTGAGCGTGTGCCTCTCTCCTGCTCTGAGCGTGTGCGTCTCTCCTGATCTGAGAGTGTGCGTCTCTCCTGATCTGAGAGTGTCTCTTTCTTTTTCTGTGTGTGTGTTGGCACATGGACGGGAAAATCAATTTTAAAGAAAATCGGTTGAATAGTTTATGTTCTATCCTTGACCACAGACGGACGGACAGAGAGATTTGCCCTCAAACAATTTTTCAATATGAAGGTCCCACGAAGCATGGATTCAAGTAATTTAGTATATACTGAGACCAGGTCAGATGCATGTCCCGCTTAATCATAAAATCCCCCCTCCCACACACACACAAAAAAACCTGTAACTTGTAATGTTGGTCCGCGCTCGCGCGACGTTAAATATAGCGCGTCGGCGACATCACCGCCTGACGTCGGCAACGGTCAAGTCGAGCGAAAGCTACGGTGACCAATGAAACCTTTGAAGGATAAAGATAAGGAATGGAAAATCGCCATTGGCTACTGAGGTAAAAGCGACTGAACCAACGGGCGAAATCTTTTCCCGTTGAAAAACTGGGTCTTGTAAAATTTCTTAAAGAGAGCAGTCGAAGTGAATGCCGATCCTAATGAAGTGTTAAATTCGTCGTCTAACGATGTATTCTGTTGAGCCATTAGGCCATTTCGCAAAGGAAATAATCCTAGACTCCGACGTAGTGTAAAGAAGCCCTAGTTTTAGGAACGGGAAACGCGTGCGTAGGTGACGCCGCTTGCTTAACAGTCGGACTGAATCGGACTGTACGATACGATCGGACGGAGGTGTCGAGCGAGGGAGTGACGAGAAAGCGTAAGTGAGCCATAGTCAGTGGAGCTAAAGTCATCGTTGGCGGCCATGTTAGGCACGATTCGTGCCGTAAAAACTCCCTGGATTTCGACCCACCATTAGCATCTCACATACGCTACGAAGGCTACGACTCAAGAACACGTAGTTTCCGATCGACGTCTGTTAAGGAAGAAAGCGGAGTCGAAGCAAACACGGAAGTAACGTTTGCGACTGAGAAGTGCAGCGCATTTGGGGTGGAGGAAGGCCCAAATTCGAGATCACGCACGTTCTCGAAGCGGACCCGGCAGCCTGCACTGGAGTCCTGCGGTATTTACCCACCCCACCAGCAGAGTCTGCAGAGTTCGTTCACCCCACTTCCATTGCTGAAGTGCGAGAGAATGCATTAAAGATTAAATTGTATAATTGATGAACCAATAGCCAACGTGATACAAGAACTAAAGAACGAATTTGCTAAAATAATTAAATGATTCAAAATGAAACTAATGATGATTCAACTAGCTCGGTGGTTTAAAGCGAAGACGCTTGCTTTTCACCAAGGAGGAACTCCGTCGATTCCAGGACCATCACATGTGAAACTTGTTCTAACAAAACGATGTCAGCTATTTCACAAGGGCTCGTCCAACCCCTGTGAAGCATCCTAAACCCTACCCCTATCCTAATTACTTCCCAATTCTGGCCGTTGTGTAGTGACGAGCGGGTAGTAGGGGGCGCGTACGCGGAGATGCTACCTGGCGGTCCTCTTGACAACAGACTACGACGAGACGTAACATTGATGATAATGATAATAATAATAATAATAATAATAATAATAATAATAATAATAATAATAATAATGAAGGATTACTCCAAATGCACAAATTAACGGAATATTACTACAAGTGCAAAGCGCTCAACGCCCCAATGGACTTGGAAACGCGTTGTGTCAATCCAGATGAAACTCTTTTTTTTTTAATTTAAAAAATGGCGGAATTTATTTGAATTGTGCTTAGGATACTGATTTATTTCAAACCTGAGTGTGAATTATAAACATTGTTGAGTATCATTTGCAAGTCAGAGTTAATTGTGAATACTTCAAAGATAGTAAAATAATAACCCTACAAACTTGATTTTGCTTAAACTTGGGCAGAGGCAATATTGACATTTGCAGCAGCTGGTTGCCCAGGAAAAGAATTCAGAATTAATGCTTAAGGAATGTTATTTTTTAAATGAATATCCATTAATGTGGCAGTTTTAAGTCAATCTAATGCCAGTGATGAATGCAAGATGTTGAATGTACAAATTCTATGTATTAGAATTCAACATTTTTATTTATTTTTAAATTAAATATACGGCGCTGGGTCACGGACTTACAATATTTAATGTCTTTGTCGTAAACTTGTATGTATTCTCTCAAACTCGCATTCCTAGACAGAACCTCTGGAAGATGATTAAATACAAACAACTCAACAGGTCTGAAAACAGATCGGTGGTGAACCGTCGAGCGTTGGGAGGTAACACACACATCGAGCAGAACTGGCTTAGGGATAACGACACGAGATCAAAAGAGTTGTTAGATGCTGGACGAGTCGCTAATTTTGACGGTGTGTTCCATAACAATATAGTAACAAGATTTATCCTTTTTTGAGTTACCAGGACTCTGCATTTAGTTTTTCTGTCCAAAATACAGCTTGCAGAAGAGTAAATTAACTCATAAGAAAGTAAAGTATAAAGAAAGTATGTACATACTACATCAATGTCACATAATCGATTAAAATTTCAAGTAAATAAAAAAAAAAAAAAGAAAAGAAACGTACCTTCAGAATTACCAGCTTTACCATATGATACTATCATGGGCCAAAAAAAATGTTGTCTAATGGAATAACCCTGTTCTTGAAGATTTGTAAGCAGAATATTAGCACTCTTTACATTGCCTTGTACAAGACAATTTTCAGTGGCTATAAGGAGACTTCTGTCATTTAATCCTTCTTCTTGCAATTCTTTGCAAATTTTTAATATTTCTTCGGCAGGCTATAACAAAGAACCAGAATGCAACAAAATATAAGTTATCAAGTCATTACATTACATATTAAATGCATTATTCAAATGCGAAGCTTTTTGAATCATATATTGGTTTGCAAGTTGAAAAAGATGCAGTGGCCGGATTTAAGTCCATTGAGAGATATAGTCCAACAACACTTTGGGACTCCAGTGCCTTCTCAAAAAATGGGAAATCCACCAGGTTTCCCACTTGGAGTGAAGATAGAATAATTAGAAACACCAGAATAGAAGTGTTGTAGCAGTATGCATAGTTGGGAGTGATATCTCATTTTTTCTCTTCACATTGCCCCCTTCTCAAACAGAAGAAAAAGATCAGGGAAGATAAGAAGGAAGAGCAGGAGGAGAAAGAGGAGGGGAAGAGGAGGAGGAGGGGAGGAGGAAGAGGAGGAGGAGGGGAGGAGGAAGAGGAGG